AAGAGTCGATTATTCTAACCGGCTGAAAATGAAAGGTTGCACACTGTCATAGTTTTGTCTTTAAATTTTTGAAAGATAATTAATAATGAAGTTTTTTTTTCTCTTTTGTTTTATTAACTATAGATATGTTCAAGTCCATTTGCCTCGGATCAGTGGCGAATAAATCTCACAGCTGGTCTTGTTCCTAATCTTACTGAGTACGAACAAAGAGATTATCGTCGTTTTCTCTCTGCTCATTTACAGTTTCTTACTGGATTATGTCAACTTTCCATGAACTTAGTGAGCGATGCTGTGAAACAACTCTCTTCTTCACTACTCGTTACTGCTCAACTTCTGTCCGAAACAGATTTTAATGAAAGCATTGATTTATTGATTAACCAGAGGAAATCAGTTGCTCCTACAAATTTCGCTCGTATTTTTTTCTTAACGCGAAGTATAAATGATGGAAATGCCATTATATCAACCTATGGAACAAATTTCGAGTATGTTTTTTCTTCGCCTTTTACCTATTCTTATCTTATAACTAAACCGATAATGTATGACAATGAATGTTCCTGTGGATTGTATTCAAATTGCACCAGTCAAGCAAGTTTTATCGGAACCAATTCCTCTGACACCATTCCTATTAAAGGTTTGAAAATAGGCTGCACACCAAGTGAATCTTTTCGCTTGTCGACTCTCGAATGTTTCTATAATCAAACATGTATTAATCTTATTCAACAATATACTAATTATACAGGTGATATTAATTCAGCAAGCTCTCCTATTTCTCTTTCGGCAAATATGAGTCGATTCTCTATAAACACCAGCATGGCCGAACTTATAAATGAACTATTCATTGAGCAATGGGTGACAACAATTAATTATTTATCTTATTATCAACAATGTTCACCCTTACTGTGTTTGTATACCTACAGGCAACAATTTAATCTATTGTATGCAATAACCCTTCTGCTTGGTCTTCAAGGTGGTCTCACGATTGTTCTCAAATGGATTTGTCCTAAAATAGTTCAAATTGTAGAGAAGTTATATCAACATCGAAAGAAACGCACGAACATTGTTCAATCTATCAGTTCTCTTGAAGTCACGGTCGCTGATCATATTCAAACAGACATCGTCAATCCTACTAATGATGAACAATCAACTTCAATGAATAAAACATCTCAGTACGTTGTTTTTGTTTTCATTTGATTTATAATCTATAATTCTCTTCATTAGAATAAGGTTGATTTCATCAGTCCAATGTTTTTTGAAAATCGGCTTAGGATGTATACTGTTGTTGTTTCTAATAATGGCTCTCACCATATACTCTATTTATATCGCTCGGCAAGGAAAGAGTGAAGTCATATCAACAAGTAAGATTCTTTTATAATTGCTTCTCTGAACGTCGCAACATTCGATCCATAAGCTGATATAACGACGAATATTTCAGCATAATTTTAGTTTTAGCATTACTCTAAGATGTATATGATTCATATATACGACGAAGGTGTGGGGCAAAATGCGGATGAGGAGGGTTTATCTGAAAATAATTCTGAAACTAAATTCATTCCTAAAAATAGGTACTAGTTTTTCTTTTTTTTAATGTCCGTTTATATTCGAATTCGACTTAGGCAGCTATTGGAGTAGTGGGTCTAAATTTGTACTCCTATACGTCCCAACACTTGTTTAGATCATGTTCCACACAAAAGTGAAAACTTATCGAAGTCTATATTAAAATAAATGTTGCGGAGTTTTCTCTGAAAACTATGTTTTTGATTAAAAATCTGCTTAAAGGGAATGTTCCATTTGGGGTATTGCATTTAATATATAGTAAGTTTTCATCAATTTCCCGCAATGAACTATTCTGATTGTACGAAAGAAACACTGACTATGTTTGGGTTATATTCCTGTTTAGAATTTCCTTTATATCTACGTTTTTGTATGCATCATCTATGTCTTTGTTAGAATCTTCGACAGCTGCGATAATCAGTACCAGTACACAGACAACTACAACAACAACAAGTACGACAACAACCAGTTCAACTGAAATGAGTCAGTATATTTTAACTATTTCTATTTTCTAATATATAGTCTTTTGAATAAGTTAAAAATAGAAGTGGTCGATTCCTGATATGTTACTTTTGGACAGACTATATTCTTTTAGTTCTAATTGATCGAACAAACCTTTTCATTCTAGAACTGAATTAACACATTAAGCATTTTCGATCATAGAAGACACAGAGAGAGGCTTCCACTCCCACAAATTCGAATTTTCTGTCAGAATTTTTGTTAATACTTTCTACGAACTTTTATAGATCAATTCAGCAGAAAATTTCGTTGTTTGTCGAAATAAAATCAAACTAACAATACTTTTTAGTAAATATCTTGTAGAAAATTGTGTGTGAGTGTGAAATATGATGAACTATGAGACCCACAACCACAGCCTTCGTCTCATGAATTCTTTCCCAATTATTGTGAAACTAAGCCCAATGATTACTCCGTGACTTTATTCTTTTTAGTACCTACTTGCCAGTTGGAATTTCAACTAATAGTAATATGTGATGGAAATTGGCTCAATCCTGTAAAACGATCATCACCCATTGTTGCTGATTTCAACAATGACAGTCGACTCGATCTCGTTTTTCTCTCTACAAATCCTAATGCTGTGAATGTATTTCTTGGAAATGGGAACGGAACGTTTATAGTACAATGGGTGTTACTGCAAGGAAGTCTTAATATTTTGAGTAGCATTACTTCTGGTGATTTAAACAATGATAAGATACTTGATCTCGCTTTTGTCGATCAATATGCAAACACTGTGAATATTGTTTTCGGGAATGGAAACGGAACTTTTCGATCAGTGAAGAATTTATCACTAGGAAATGATAGTTTTTTGCAAGGAATTACTGTAGCTGATTTGAATGGTGACACTTACTTAGATATTGCTGTTGCTAACAGCTACCAAAATAATGTTCGTGTGTTTTTTGGGGATGGTAAACAAACTTTTATCGCACAAATGACATTATATAGTGGACGTAGCAGTTATCCGAATGCGATTGCTGTCGCAGACTTTAACAGTGATGGTTACAAAGATATTGCTGTTCTCAATTATTATGGTAGAAATATTGGTATATTTCTTGGGTACGGTAATGGATCTTTTCAAGCGCAGCAGATGTCTTTCACCGGTGGTTATTACCATCCAAAAGATTTCAAGGTTGGCGATTTCAACAGTGACGATCGACTCGACGTCGCTGTAGCATATGATATGGATAACATGATAAGTGTATTATTTGGATTTGATAATGGTACTTTGGGGTTGAAAGCCAAGTTGGTTCGAGGAAATACTACACTAAACACAGCAGTTGGCGTCGGCGATTTTAATGGTGATGGTTACCTGGACATTAGTGTTGGTACGGGTAGTTCATCGATAGCTGTCTTCGTTGGGAATGGAAATGGGAATTTTGAGCGGCAAATAATAGTGGCGTTTGGAGGCGGTGGTACTTCGATATCATCTATTGCCGGTGATTTTAATGGTAATGGTTATCAAGACGTAGTTATTATGGACCAATCGTACGGATTTTTATATATGCTCCTAAATACAGGTCAATGCCATCCAAATAAGACTCTCGAGACAAGCACATTCATTCAGCAATAAGTTTTATGAAATTTTCTCTTGACTTATTTATGTCGCATAAATATTCTCGGAAAACATTTGCTTTTAAGAAAAAAATATTATAAAAAAAAACGATATCTACTTATCTCAAATTAGTTAGAAAGCTTTGCTTAATTATTTCTACAATAATGTTCTATTTTTCATGTCGCAAGTACTTTGTAGAAGAACATGATAAAGATGATGAGAGGGTATCTAACTTTATGAACTCTTCTGTATTCTTTTCTTTTTTCTCTCGCTTATTGTGTTTGTTATGTTACTTAGTTGTTCAAGTGCTTTTTTTATCGCTTGTTTGCTACTAATCTTAAATCATATAACCACTTTTAAACTTATTTAGAACTCCAAATAAAATATCAATCTAAAACAACCAAGAATCTTAGTCACATACATATTTTAGGCAAATCAATGAAAAAAATGAGTAACCAACTTATTGGCACAACTTGTAGAATACAAAGAATTTCTTTTTCATGGTATTAAAATTAAAAAATTAAAATATCTCAGTGATGGTCGAAAAAAATATAGACTGATACATCATTGAGGGTGGGTGTGGCTGTCGGTATGCATTCCATTTATACATACACGCTTATACAAGCTCACATTCATCTTGAATACATGATCAGACTTCGTCGATTACGTACTTAGTGTCTGCAAGACTTTCACGCAAACACAAATTTAACCATTCATCTCTTTCATATTCATAAGTGAAAGTGAGATTTCATTATCTTTTGTAGTTTTATTTTTCCTTTGCTACCTGTTGATTTTGCATGTCATTAAAAGCGATAGAAAAGAAAAAAATAATAATCAAGTCAAAGACTTAAAGAACAAAAAATGTTAGAGGAAATTACGTTGAGAAATATATTTTGCAGCTGATACGCTATCTTTTTGCGATGACATCATTTGTGTATGAAATGTATCATGAAAAAAACATTTATTGGTGAACAACTTAGAACGAAAAAATAGAAATATGTGTAGAATTAATATATGTTCGAATGTGCTTTGATAAATGTGGACCATATGTCAATAAATTCTCATTTGATTGACAGACGATCAAACAACCTAGACATCCATGATAATACTTTGTTTCATCAGTCGGGAGTTGAGCAATAGTTCAGCGATATAAAGCAAGTAAAGTCGGTAAAAATGGGTAGGTACGGGGTTAGAGATAAGAGATATCCACATTCTCAAGATAATTTTGATGAAGTAATTTGTTCAAAAGTATCCATAAATATATCTTCCCCCTCATATGTGGTATAAACATGAGATCTAATCAATAATTGCTAAGATAGACATCGAAAAAATATTCTTTATCCTGACTTATGATTTATCCAGTATGGTATCGTCTAGCAAATGAAAATTATTTTAAATGTATATCAGAGATTTTCGAACATTTTCCTACTAATGCTAGAGGAGAAAATTATTAAAAAGTGAGAGATGAGAATATTGATGAGAAAACAAACAAATTAGTTATTTGTGCGCGTTTTGAAGGACAGAAACAGACGTTTATCGTGAAAGACAAAATCGTATTGCAACGTTTAAATAATGGGTGGGTGTGGGGTGTCGCTGTGGGTGTGAATGTATGTATGGGCATGAGTGTGGGTGGATATTCATGAACAAAGGCATCGCAATCACACCCACACGCATCCACACCTACACCTTCAAAGGAATAAATGACCACTTTTAAGTGTTTTTAATATCAATTAAGCAAAATAAAGTCATTAACCCCTACTGTTTGTCACTTTAAAAAGTACTTTCTCGTACTATTTCTACTTTAATAAGTATTTAATAGTACCTTTTAGCTAAAAAGAGTGAGGGTGAGGGTGTGGGTATCAGATAATTCAGATCAAGCACACTCACGCCCTTTCGCTCACATCAAAAATTTAGTTTTGACGACAAAGCTCTTTCACATCACTGAATTGCTACTATGGAAATACTTCAAAATCTGTTAAACTTATTATCTTTCATCCAATATAGATTGACGTATGCAAGAAAACACATTAAAAAATATATTTCAGTTGTTCAGCGACACTTTATGAGAAAGTAGAAGATCTATTAACATAGTTTTGAGCTTGTTTTATATCACCAAACATGATGGCACATTATTTTATTGTGAGCTATCAGCTTACAAGGATTATTGTGCAAACAGTTTGACTACCTGTCGAGATATTGTCAAGTACTATATTATGAATAACAATCAATACATAACAAGGAGAGAGAGCGGATTGCTTTCATAATTTTTATGGCACATGAAGATTAATAAAAAGCAAATTAGAACCAGAAAACATGAAGTTTGTCACGGTAAGGGTGTATGAGTTTTGTCATAGTTAACAATTATCTGTTACTCTTACTCCCCGATCTTCTATCTTGATATAATTACGAGATGTTTTTGATATATTCAATACTAAATATCTTTTTAATGTTAAGTTAACTGACAAGAGAAAAGATATCTTTTTTAGATAAAAAGGCGAAATAACAAGAGTCATTGTAAATTATCTCAAAATGGGTTGCTGCGAGAGCTCTTCAGACAACGGTTTATCAACTTCGTACAATTTAAATGCATCCTCTCCTCTTACACCTGATGAAACAAGACTTTTCAAACAAATTCTTACTGAAATACCTATTCATTGTCCACAGGCTATCATTGATTTACCACGGCGTCAATTTCTTGATATATATCGATATCATATAATAGCTAGTTATCATTTCAGGCGAATGGAATTTCAGCTTGCAGTTCTCTACGAAAGTAAAGCAATATATGGCTTACAAGTTATGTTGCTCGAGCACAAACAGAACACTTGCTACATGTTTATCAGTAATCGGTCAAGTGTCGGCAGCCATCGAAGGAAACCAAATGGCTCTAGATATGCTACTAAAACATACACCTTCGAATTATCAAACAATCAGCTGGAAATATTCCGGTTTGGCTTCCTGCTATTTGGAAGGTGAAGCATGGGGTCAAGCTATACTACATTTGAGAAAAGCTATCGAAATAGCACGGTTAAGCAATGAGCCAAATCAGGAAGATATTCAACTGATGGAGAATTCGCTTCATTTGTTGACGTAAGTAAATTAGTGGATGAAAGAACAAGTGCAATAACTAAGTTTTACTACTAGATAATCAAAATCTATGAAATTTAGTTCTCGATAGTTTTAGAGAGATTGTGAGGCTTTTATAGAGAGAAAGGAAATCCAAACATAGCATGGTTTAGAATTGTTTTCAATAAATTTCTATATTATGTTTATATTATTTCTTTCTCAGAGCAAAACTCATGGATGGCGCTCTAATGTCAATGAATCACGTATTAACACCCAATCCCAGTCAAAATCAATCGAATATGGAAAGTCAAATAACGCCTGGAACCATTGCTGATAATAATATATGTGGCACATCTTCAATCGATCAAGCTGAAGTTGAGCACCTGCCTGATAAACAGACGGAATTGTTAACCAATGATGAAACTCCCAAAGATGTGGTATTAAATCTGGAGACTTGAGTTATTGAGAGCTGTACCCTTGTTCATACTCGCACTGTCTCACAACCTCACCCATATCTTAGCTTTCTCTTTGTTGAGTGTCGTATTTTGTTCTTCTTATTTATTTTATCACATCCTGAGATATCGGCTTTCTGTAATCGGTAGAAGTCAATATTGTAACCTTCGTTTAACGGGAAAATAAATAAATCTTGAGGGTATGGTTGATCTGATTAATCTTATGTCCACACCCACATCACTTTTTCTGTAAGTGTATTATAATCTTCAGCTAACATTTACAATTCGACATTCATCGAATCTGAATCCTCCTCTTTTATTTAAAAACTTTGTTCATTTATCTATATATAAATAGATAATAAACTCAATCAATTTTGTTTTTAATACTTTTAAAGAAAAGAGTACGTTGCTGCCTGTTTTTTGATTACATTCTTTGGCTTATATTTATAATAAATATTTTATCATTTTCTTAAAGAGAAAAAATTTATTTTTATCTATAAGCCTGCTTGTAAGTAGTTTTCATATTAAAATTAAGTTTAAAGAAAAGAATAGTAATCATGTAACAAAAATAATTGTCAAAAATAGATTTATTTCCATAAAAGTACATTTTTAATTTCATTTCGAAATGTTTTTGAAACGATTATATGTGTATAACAATTTATACAAAATGGAATATGTACACTAAAGATTGCAATATTTTTAATTAAATATACAGTTTGCGTTTGTTCAATAGTACTTGTTTGACTTTTTGTTATTTGTTCATATACAAGAGAACATGGCATTATAAAATCAAAAAGAATATAAGTTACAATATCTACGATTAGCATAAGAACAAATTGTCGATCTCTTGAACGCATAGAATTTGAATTATGTCCTCCTACAACACGATTTGAACCTGAAACAGGTACAATTCTAACACGACGCATCGCTTGAATATTTCTTACTGACAAAAATCCAAAGATAATTAATAATGATGGTATGAAAATTTCTTTCAAAATTGAAATATAAGTTAATATTAGAGTAAATTCACCTGGTTCAATATAACAATAAAAATAATTTGGTTCGATTTGTAAAATATTTGTAACGAATATGACACCAATTAAAATTAAGATATAAAATAATGGCTGAATTGCAATAGTTAAATAAGCTAGACGAAGAGTACTTATCTGTCTTATTCGAGCATGAAATGAAGTAATTAAAACACGATCGATTGAAGCACAAAGTAAATAGGATGGACATAAAATATTGAAAAAAAATGCGAAATATAAACGGAAACGACAATAGAATAAAGAATGTAAAGCAGGAGCGATATTATATCCTATTTCAAGTGTAAATGATAATAATGACACAAGGATAAATAATAAATTAGCAATATTAAATGCAATGAAATAAATGGAACATGTATTTTTTCGAAGATTTTTCCGAGTAAAAACTATTAAGCTAAGTACACAACTTACAATACCAACAATGATAAATATTGGACCAGCATATCGATATAAATAAACCTGTGCTAATTGTAAATTAGATGTTGAAGATTCCATGGACATAACGGTCGCTATTTTTGAGTAAAACCTTATAAGAGAATGATAATTATGTATCGATGAGAACGCTTTTATAATGAAAAAAAAATATAATATTCAAAATCTTCACTTATCGTCTGAAAAGCTGCTTATTATAGAATAATTACTACATGGCGTTCTTTAATATGACTTTATATAGAAAAATGGCCTATAGGATTGAGAGTGTGGATGTGGATTGTTGGGTTTAGATATTCCTAAAAGAATTCAAGCGACTCTTTTGTGTGTATAAATAAAATATATTCATACTATATGAGCACGATTAAAAAAAGATGTAAATTAAAAATATAACAGAGATGTGCGCAGTGGCATGTTCTTTTTACCGTCGCGGTATAAGCGATACAAAAAAATCGTCTATTTTGTTTTGTTAATAATCTATTTAAAAAGTAATTACAAAGGAATAGTTTAATTATCTTTGGTGAGAAAAGTCATGTTTTTAATGCACGAATAATTTTAAATAGAATGTAATTTTCTGATTAATGTAATGAATTCTGCTTCAAAAAAGACTATTGTATTCATTTTATCTTTTTTTTTGTGATATACAAAGATGTCAACAATAACAACTCTTACTCTTGTTCAACAATATATTACTCGTTATGTATTATCAACCGCTCTTATATTAGGTAGTTTGGGAAATTTCATTGCAATAATTGTTTTTTCACAGAAAAAACATCGAACAAATTCATGTTCTATTTATTTAGTAGCAGTATCTATGTTTGGTATATTGTCAGCTAATTTAGGTATTGCTCCACTCGTATATGCACTTGATCATTTCAATGCGATAAACTCTTCATTGGTATTATGTCGTGTTCGTGGTTATACTTTACAAGTTACTGCTATGTGTTTTCGTTATACACTTATTTTAATGTGTGTTGATCGATATGCATTATGTAGTTCTCGTGCTGCAATCCGAGCTCTATGTCGACCACAAATTGCTTATCGATCAATTGGAATTGTGATCATCTTTTGGATGATAATGTCTATTCATTTTCTCATTTGGGAAAATATTGAAAATAATCTTTGTAGTCTTTATGGACTTTACGCGCAAATAATAGGTTTTTATAGTTTAATTTTAACTGGCACAATACCGATTCTAAGTATGATTTTAATTAACATATTGATCAAAAAGGCTTTACGTCAATTACGTACTCGTATTCAACCAATTGATAATACTAGACAAATAAGACAACGAGATATTCAATTCATAAAACTTATGATGGTTGAAGTAATTGTTTTCATAATATGTACAGCTACATATCCGTTAATGTTTCTCTATACAAATATATCGAATAGTATAATTTTAAATAAAACTAATGAACGAAAACAAATCGAAACATTCCTTAGTTTTATTACAATGTCAGTACTTTTATATATGAATTATAATACGATGTTTTTTGTTCATAGTTTTACATCGAAAACATATCGAATGGAAGTAAAAGAATTTATATTAAAAATAATTAGAAAATCGAGAGAAATTGCACAAAATCAAGTGGATTCAGTACGAAATGCGAACTAATCATTAACAGAAGAACAAACACAAATTTATTATTATTTTTTTTTGCTTTTGATGTTGTTTATTACGATGTAAATCTATCTATATTTAAAACTAATGAGTTTAATTTTTATTTTATATTATTCCTTTATGAATTTTATCTTGCCGACAATAATTTTTGTATATCGCCAATGATCAACAGTATCTTGAGAATATATAAGTTATCTATGATGACAGTCATTTGATCATTTGTCAAAATGAGTCAATTCTATGAATTTATGAAATCTTCACTTTCAAAGTGTAAACAACGATAAGAATGATCTCATGTTGTACACATAGATGTATAAAGGCAAAATTATTAACGTAGTTTAATGGAAATGGTGTAGTAAACAATGTATTAAGCATGAATGGTAGGTAATTTCAATAGAATACATATTTTGTTTCCGAATCAATACTATAGCGTTGTCAAGCTAACAATTAATTATTTTTAAAGTAAGTCAAAACACTTGTTGTGTATTAAAAAGTAATCGATACACTACAAACGGAAATAAAAGAATAAAGAAATAGCTTAAGCAAAAGTGAAATAAAAACCCTTACATATAATTAACATTCCCATTTGTAACTAAAATCTTGTTGATTTTTTGTCTGATTTGTTATCCACACAATACCGTAAATTGATCTTCGATCATTTTTTACTTCTAATTTCTTTGTATATCAATCAAAAGATTAAAGATTGAAAATTCAAATAAATTTACAGTTTAAGACAGAATATTCAAGATCATGTTAGAATTCAGTTTTAATTCTGATCTACTTTCTAATTAACATTATTCATTCTTAATATTAACTACGTACAAGATTTAGTTCTTGTATGCTTCTGAAAAATAGAGATTTTTTTCTCTTGGAAAAATCATATTAGATTTCAAAATTGATTTTTCTTGTTGTACTTCTGTATATAGATACTAACTGATTTTGACAACGGGAAATAAATGAATTAATAAGTAGGAGATCAAATTAACTGCGCATGAAGTTTATAATTTATCTTATTTCTTCATTTTTTTATTAGAAAAATGAGCTGCAGAAGACAAGAGATGCTATTAATAAAAGATATCTTTGTACAAGTGATTATTATATTTACTACTGGTGGACTATTAGGTAAGTATTCATGAATATTTCTTTTTTATTATAAAATTTGATTGGATTAGTAAAGATAACTTTTCAGTTGGTGTTTCTTGATAGTATGCGTACATATAAAAGGCAACAAGTTTTTCTGAATTCTGCTTTATTGGGAGACAGAGAAGAACACAAAGAGTAGGTGTGAGAGTATTATAATCAACTGATATCCACGACCTATCTATAGCATTAAGAGAAATCTCAGCTTCATCATTCAATACAATGATTGTAGTAAGACTATTGCCTCACAAACAGTATAAGCAATTAGTAACTACCACATATATGTAAATTTTGAAGTAATAGCACTGCTCAGTTTAGAGCATGTGCTGATTTTATCATTTAAAAAAACTACTACCGAAAGACATCTTTATCGAACAGTGAGACATTTTGTAAAAAGAAACTCCATAAAAAGATCTTGTAATGTTTATTTAAACATATTTTAGAAAATACTGAATAGTATGTATTTCAATAAAAAAGATACTGTTTCGAAGAGAGTTCAAAGCCGAATCTTTTATAAAAGACAATGTGTATAGATTTTTACTAAAATACTTCGAGTTGAGTTTCTCGTGTCACATTTGATAATTGTATATATTAACGACTACTTTTATTCGTGTATGTTTTGATAACTCTATAATTATAGATTAAGCTGAACTTCAACTATAATATATAAGAACTCATTTGAGTGATTTCTTTTTATAGAATCTGTTGAATTGTGTCATGGTAATGATACAAGTAATGACAAACCACTTCTCTTGATTACATTTGGAAATGGCACAGAACATTTTTCTTCGAAAACACCGTCCTACTTTAATTTTTCTACAAATCATAATCAAAGCTTTGAATCCAACATAGATCTAAATCAGTTTGCTTTTGTGAATAAAGCTCATCGTAATATGGATGATTGGCACACTGGAATACTTGATCATACAAAGAATGAAGCTAATGGTTATATATTTGCGATCGAAGTCAATGAAAGAGTAGGCACTGTATTATTCCAGTACAATGTTAGTGATCTATGTGCTGACCAACGTTATCAGTTTTCTGCTTATTTAGCAAATATTAACAAAAAAATACCGTCTGTTCCTAAGCCAAATGTCCAATTTCAAGTTCGAGAGCCGGGAAATATGAACAAACGCCTGGCACGAAAAAATACAAGCGATATACCTCAATGTGATCAGTTGATTTGGTTAAAGTATTGTCTTTCATTTAATGCCTCGAATAGTACAGTCGTTCTGTTAATGACTTCAAATGTCAAGGGTTGGGCTGGAAATAATCTAGCCATTGATGATATTGAACTACATCTTTGTCCAAATGGAATATGTGATCTCTGTTCGACAGGTTAGTATAGTTTCTACTCTTTCAGCACAAAACAAGAATTTGTTTTATATAAGAACGATTGAATAAATAATTTGATCAAATTTAAAATAGGGTGTGAGTGATATCTCAACCTCATATTCTGATCCTCGTTCACACCCTCAAGATGATATAAAATCAAATGATATATTATCCGATAAGATATTTCTTCGATTGACACTCATATTATTGATGGTCTGACCTGTAAATTAGCAAGTCTGTTTCAATCCTCTGAAAACATTAGCAGCTTTGTACGCAACCAATAGATTATCGATCGCTTCATCTATAGCGATAGTTAAAACTAATTCTGTTTTATTAAAATTGCATTATCTAATAAAACAATTAGATAATTATAAATATTCTGAGTTTTTAATACAATCAATTCTTTCTTGAAATATAATAGTAATGGTAAATATTATTTAGAGATTAAAATAACTTTTGATAAACATTGAATAGCGATTTGTGATTTTTGCTATTTAAAAAGTATTAATGAGTTATCTAACCATGTGTCACTATCTAAATAAAACATATTATATTTACAAATACTTACAGATTTTTATTTTAAAACTAAATCTGCATACGAATACAATAAACAAATAATGCAGAAGATCAATTTAGCTTACATTAGTCGTTATATTGAATGAAACTATTTGGTGTATATAGATACATTAGCAGATAAGTGCGTATCTCCAACCACAACAACTAAATCAACATCTACAACAACATCCACAACTTCGACTACCTCAACGTCAACAACGACATCAACTACTTCAACGTCAATGACAACATCCACAACTTCAACAACAACATCAACGTCCACAACAACATCAACTACCTCAACGTCAATGACAACATCCACAACCTCAACGTCAACAACGACATCAACTACCTCAACGTCCACAACAACATCAACCACTTCAACTACAACAACAATATCAACTACATCAACCACGTCAACAGCAAGAAATGTGAACACAGGTAGTGGAATTTCTTCTTAGTTCTTTTCGTCTATCTATATATAATTCATTTATATTTGTAAAAGAAAGTACAACAAATGTTTTACTTACATTCATTTCGAATATTAGTATTACTAATATGTTGCACGAAGAAAACTTGTAATAGCATCAATATTTTCGCGTCTTTCTGAAATAACTGAGAAATATAAAATGAACCTTGTGGAACACACATATTAATGATTCGAAATTTGTTTATTCTTCTGAAGTTGTATCATAGTCAATGACTGAAAATATTAATGAAAATTCAAGATACTTATTTCACATAGATTATTAAAAAGTTAACTGCAAATTAAAAAATGAATATCATAAAATTTCTACCATTTGTCATTATATCGTGTTCTAATATGTAATAATGAAAGTGTAAAAATTGATCCGTATAGTTTTAAGAGAATAATAGAAAATGAATTCTTTTACTTTTTAAACAGCAGTATTATACAGCTGAAACTGTTTTCAGGCATGTATGTGAATAAGTATCATTTTAATACTAAGAAATATATTTATTAAATGAATTTATACAATTCAACTTATATATGTTTTTTTTTGAGAAACTTCTACAAATAGAGAAGTTTTAATCGTCAAATATCGTATTTTTCAATTGTTTTTCTTCTCGATAGATGCAACATCACTTATAGCTACAGTACAAACAGAAAATTCAATTAGTTCTTTTTCTTTCGTTTCAGTTGTCGAACAATCGCCACTTTTTATTCCTAAATCTTGTAATGATTCAACATCTATTGGTCTTAATTGCAACATCTCTGCTAGCCCATGTCAAATCACAAACTTTTGTCAGAATAATGGCAACTGTACTGATGATAATACAACATCCTATGGATATATTTGTTTATGTCCATTTGGTTTCAATGGTATAAACTGTGAACTTGATAATCGACTTTGTAAACCTCATATCTGTTTAAATCATGGTATATATTCTCTCTTTCAAAAATTTTCAATATCTATTATTTGTTTATAGGTGAATGTAATGAAACATCAGATACAACATTTGATTGTTTATGTAATAATGGTTGGGAACGTACTCATTGTGAATCAATGACAAATTACTGTTTAAATATCACTTGCGAAAATAATGCTATTTGCCGTCCATTGTTACTTAATTATACATGTGAATGTCTTAGTAAGAATTATTATGGTCGTCATTGTGAATTTAGCACAACGAAAATAATTGTTTATAAAATAATGTCGAAATCATTTGCTTATATTGCTATTGTTGCAATGACAATTGTGGTAATGTTTGTTGTAATAATGGATATATTAACGTATTGCTTTGGTATTGATTTAACACGTGAAGAACGAGAAAGATATCGACGAGAAAAACGAGGAAGAAAATGGAATCTTTCTGCTAATCAAAATCTTATATATGTTAACGCACTATCAGAACCATTTAACAAATCAAAGACAACTGTTGTTAAGAATAGAATTTAAAACTAACTTCAATGACTTTATTATTTATATCGTTTTACGCTGTTTTCTTCGATATGCTTTAGTCGATATGTAAAGCTTCCTTATTCGTCCGGTGGGTATGGCTATTCTACTTCATGCACACCCACATCCTAAATTACTCATTTTTATTGTATAGTTAGTTCTTTTTTTAGTATAATGATATTATTTATTTAATCATATTCTAAATAATTTTAATGTTATTCATCATTTATATATTGTATTTAATAAAATTTTCTCATTCTGCCAGATATTTATCATCAGACATCTTGAGGGTGTGAGTTAAGAGAAGATAAATACCTGCTGAGATTAATTATTATCTTGCTTCTTGTTGATTCTGGAACATGTGACTGACATATTTGGAGAAACACGAAGAAGAAAAAGATACTACTGATATGAAAGAATGATGCAAACGATAATACGGCTCATAGCTGTTTGGATAATGTCTTTCATACTAGTTATATCATATTTTCTATCGACTATATTGCTTCATAAGTAAAGATCACAATTTGTTCTCTACTCCCAGAATAAATCCAACTCGTTTGGTTAAAAAATGACAAAAATATTTAAAATTTTCCTTGTCTAGTGAATACTTGGACAACCTATATATGTAGCTTTAATTGAACATCAAGTTCTTATTGATAATTCGGATTATGATACATCCGAACCCACATCCTCAAGATTTTATAAGTAGCTTACAGAAATGGGAATCGAGAAAAGTTGTTCTCGTAGGACTTTAGTTTAAAAATAACGAAAGTTAAAAACCCTTTTTTTATTGTTATTTCATTATTTCTTTAAGCAAAGAATTTCATCAATATAACATACATGACACCATTCTCTTTCTATTCACTGAAAGTTTGATGATGACGTTATAGAATAAATACTCAAACATTTATAGGATAATAAAGTCGAAATAACAATGTAAGACATGAGTCAGTACGTAATAACTCTCGTATGTTTTATATAAAAAGGTACTGACATGTTGTTTCGAATGACTTTGTGAAATACAATAACGTATTATGAAATTTGAATTATTACCAAATGAAATTTTACTTGATTACTTTGGATATTTTAATGCATTGGATCTCTTTTATGCATATGATGGATTAAATTATCGTTTAAACAAATTAATTCGAATTTTACCATTACATCTTAATTTTCAATATGCAAATAAATCAAAATTTGGTGAATTTTGTCGAACGATGTCACTAAATGAGGAACTGAGGAGTCAAATCTATTCATTACATTTATCAAATCAAGAAACAGATTTTCAAATCGAAGCATTTCTCTCATTTTTTTCACTTGATCAATTTACCAATCTTCGATCATTGTCTATAACCGAAATAAACTCCACTGATAGTACAAAAATAAAATTAATGTTATCATCAATATCTAAACTACAAACATTATCAATTATTTCTTCAGACTTTCCATTCAACACTATTAATGAAACATTATTAATTAAAAATTTAACAATTTCTTATTGTTTTTTAAATGAATTATATCAATTATTACAACATATGTCTGTATTAAAATATTTAAATATTCAATGTCTTAATGATGATGGATATTCATATGATACAAATAGATTAAATAATACTCCATGTGCCATTCATTTAAAAGAATTAATTATCGGAGATTTACAATGTACATTTATGAATTTCAAAATATTTGTAAAACAAATACCAAATTTACAAATTTTAACAATATTTACAAGAAAAAATCGTGATATGTTTAAGGCTAATCTATGGGAACATTTAATAAGAAGTTCATTACCTCATTTAATTACTTTTAATTTTAATTTTGGTTATATTTATGATTGCATTTATGGTTGTATTTATGGTTGTATTTATAAACGTTATTTATACAAATATATGTTCGATGGATTTCAAACTAATTTTTGGCAAGAACAATATAATTGTTTCACTGAGTATATAAATGATAAACAATCAATATTTGTTTATACACTACCTTACATATCAAATACATTTGAATTAACACCAAATACGACAAGATATTATAACACTATGATTAATAAGACCAATGAATCTGATGATGAAATCATAATCAAAAAACGAAAACAATCTTCAAATGATCAGCAAGTCAATGAAAAAGGATATCAATACATAAACAATGAATATAAACAGATAATATCACTTTTAGATATACAAAGTATAACAGATATAAAATTGAAAAAAAGAAAAAGAATAGAAAGTAACAATTATAATAAAATCGATATTTTTAAAAATGCCACAGATTTAACACTACATTTGGATATATTAACAAAACAATGTTCATATTACTTTTCAAATATTACATCATTAAGATTAGTTCCATCGATAATATTAGGACAGCGTATGCTTACAAATCAACATATTCAAATTGTGAAAACAATTGTGAATTTATTTAATTTAAAACATTTAAATATTGAACGATTATATGGAATAGAAAATTCATTAGTCTTATTAGAAATATTTAAACAATCACCAAAATTATCTTCAATAACGTTTATTCCAAAAGCGATTATACGATTATTTAATGATGATGAATTATGTAAGTATTTAAATAAAATGATAAAAAAAATAATTCTAACTGATTATTTTGAATATTATGCCAATAATTCTGAAAAAATCAAACAATTTTGTCAAATATTTTCTAATATTGAATATTT